AAAAATAAAAATACAATTAATTAATTCAATTATTCTATAGCTGATTTATGATTTCGTTCTAATATAACAGCAAGTGAATTTGTGAATAAATTAATGAATTTGTTAATTCACAGCAAATTAACACAACTCCAGAAAAATGTGCGAACTTAAAAGTCAAGTTCGACTTTGGGTCAGTTGGTTAAGGAGCGCTGACTCTGTGCTTCAAATTTGGCAGGGCACGAGTTCGTTTGCTGGTACTTGCAGTTTCAAAAAAAAATTATTTACGAGTAATTAAGTACAAGAATTATTTCTAAGACCACTGGTGATGGGTATTTGACAAGACTCGAAATAGCTGTGATGGTCAGCCAAAAATTTAATTTAATTAAAATAATATAAAATGTGACTTTTGTTGTTGTAGTTCGTAGTTTGTAGCACTACTGTTCGAAATTTTATTAAGAAATCACTTTAAAGAAGAAACTGCAGCTTGTCAATAAAATTTTAACTTTAATTAATTAATAAAATTGAAATTTTGAATTTTTTTCTAAAATTTGCCCTCTTAACAATTATCCTATACCATAGATTGCAAACGGATGAAATAAATTATAGAAAAATACGATTCATGCTATTATTTAAACATTCTTAACTTCCGGTACCAAATACTTAGTTTGACATTGATAGAAAATTTCAACAAGGTAGGAAGAAATTAAGGATATGAAAAATACGAAGGAAGTACGAGTAATGCCATAGATAAGCGAACTACAAAATAGAAGGAATAATTGACGCAATATAAGTTTTCTTATTTTATTACTTGCAGTTACTTCATTATGTAGTAAATCCATGCGCGGGTAAATTTATTCCAGAATTAATAAGAGAAATGCGAAATATTGTCCCCAAACAATATTTTCACAATTGGTCAATTAATTGCGATAGATTTCTACAAATCTAATTGGTCTACTGTTGAGGTACCCATTTCCTTTGTTATTGATAACACAATAAATGATTGTAAACTAAAGTAAATTATGTTGAGGTCCTCTGGATTTACGTTCACCATTGCAATCGTTAGCTCATTAAAAAGAAAATCTAATATGTTTTATAGCACATTATTTTATTTATATTTATTTTCGTTTAATTAAAGTATTTGCATCTTTTCTCGGTCAATTTGAAAAAATACTTAAAGAGCCGCACCCCTGGTGATATTCCTTGACTAATTGATTTTCAAACCTAATAAATAATGTTCACTTATCTATACGAGTACCCGTACGAATGGGATAGGACATTCGAAAATGTCCACAGCAAGGACAATATTGTATAAAAATTATTTTTGTGGTCAGTATTTTGAATCAAAAATATTAAATTTATTAGAATATGTGAACATTCTGATTGAAAATTAATAGACAGCGTGACTTCTTAAATTTTAGTGCTTGACTCGAGAATGGCAATAATTGTAATTACTATGTGTATATATTACTATCGATTTGAATAGCAAAATATCCTATTTATGCATTAACTATATAAATTTTCTAAATTTTCTAATTAAGATTTCAGTTTTAAAGCTGTTTTAACTGCATTTTTTTAAACACGTTCAAAGCCCATAGTATATATAATATTATTTTTGTATGAAATAAAGCTAAATATTAACATTTAAAAATAATTAAATATATAATATAGTAAAACTAATTTCAAGTGAACCTTAAAACAGAGTCATCGATCTGACATGAAGTAATTAACGTATTTACGGGTGTTGATAGCTAGGATAGCTCATGGTTTTCCAGAAGTGTTACAAGAACATTTTTCTTTGCAACCCTGAATCGTCTAGTAGTATAAATTGAAAGACTTGTACCTTGATTTAGTTTATAACATTTTATTCTGTACATATTTACAGTTGAAAAAGCAGTTTACTAATACTGTATACTTATCAAAAAGAAATTTAATTACAAAGAAATTAAATTATGTTCTCCTGAAATGAGAAGAAAAACAACATCACCGATTTGGTCACGTTGGTATACTGAGGAACTAATCAATGCTTCTGATTAGGCCACATTGGTATACTAAGGAACTAATCAACGATACCGATTAGGCCACGTTGGTATACTAAAGAAATTAGATCAATAAACCTTGCTGAACTGTGTCTTCTGTGGGAGGGAGGTCATGGAGCCGGGTGAGGTACCTACGGGCGAGTGTCAAGAGGTACTCGTGATCTTGGCATTGTCATAAAGTGTTGAGATGGAGAAGTGCTTGCCATTAGTTTGCGCTTATAGTTGGTGCAATCACGAAGAAGTCTCCGCTCAAACAAGCTGATTTTTTCGTTTGAGCGCAAGTGATGGCTGATCAAATAGAGAAAGCGTAGGTGAGGAGAGGACGAATAAGCTGCTTATAGTAGAGCAGCAGTTAAGCTGGTTATGTCTTCGAAGTGCAGTTTTGAGTTGAGTGTGCCTGAACCGGGTGTTACGGATGGCATAGTCAGCATATGGTATAAAGTTATGTTGATATGAGAGGACAAGACCAGTGATCTCCTTCCTACAATTTTCGTTTTCATTTTCACTCTACACATTGGAGATCGCAGAAGCAAATATATACGTTCATAGATGTTTTCGATAAAAATAAAATTACCTTAAATTAAGTTTTATTAATTTATCAATTTAAATTCATATATTTGGTACATATACCATAAAACTAAAATAATGTAGTTTTACCAGTACACCAAAAGAAAATTTGCGTAATTGTAGTAGATTAAAAACATGTTGCGGGCCACATGTGGCCCTTGGACCGTGCTTTTGACAGCCCTGCTCTAGACTATGATCGAGGTACTCTCTTTAAATGTTCTTTCGACGTTTAATCATGTTAAGAAGTGGAATGTTTCGGTTACGTATTACATGTCCAAAACCTGTAACTTTTATTCCTTTTATTTATTTATAAATAAAAGTTATTTATTTAACTTTTATTTATTTTTGTTAATAATTTTGTATGTTTTCTTAGTGTCCTGAGAACTTCATCATTGGAAATTTAGCCTTGATATCTAAAAACTTCTTGTATATTAAAACAATTTAGAATATAATTCTGTTGATCTAAATCGATTTTACCAATAATTTTTTTAACTTTTTGAAATTACATAATAAACTCAATTTTTTTTTCTAAAACTGAAAAATTTTTACAGAATTTTATACTATAAAAGGTATTACATAAAACTAACTATTAAATCCTTGATTTCAGATGGAGTAACAATTAAAATTTTCTAAATATGTACATATGATCTATGTAAACTGCAGTAGCTGTTTTTAATTAAATATTTTAACGTATTTTCACTTTCTTAAGTTATCTCACAATTTCATAATATGTCTAATTGCATTGAGAAAAAGATTTTATCTTCAGGCAAAACACAGTTTAAAAGAACCTTAATAGTTTCTACTGAGGCGGTGTAAGTAATCGTCGTACATAATTTTTAAGATATAAAACGGAGAGAAAAAAAACAAGAAAAATACGTTACTTTAACTTTTCTACTTGAAGCTAAAATGCTGCGGGCAATTATATCGTTAAATTAAACACTTGCAAGTGCATAGGCCTTCATCGCCTGTACTCGTAAGGAAAGACATTCTCTCCAGTACATTCAGAGTTTCTAGTCAGTGCACATCGTGTGAATAAATAAATGACTGGGCGCATTTCCATCGACTGCTCTTATATCACTTTACTTACTTTAAATTGAAGCTCATAACTAAGAATGATGACATTTTTTCATAACATGGCAAATTTTGATTTCCTTTGGAAGCATTTATGTGAAGGAAACTGTCACAGGTGACTGCTCAACTTAGGAACGGCAACAAGTTTTATTATAGATTTTTATAATAGGGGTAGGAACTAGTATATCTCCTAAGCGCTGCGGGTGATTAAATACGATAATATATTTAAAACTGTTTCTAATAAAAGCGATATTATGTGAACATTTTTATGTTTAAAATATTGTCTGTAATTAATTTTATTTATTATAATGCGTGTTGATATAGCCTTAAATGAAATAATGAGTTATGAAGTGGATTGAAATAATAAATATTGTTTTTAATATATGAATCGATTTAGATTTTCTAATAATACAATTTTCGTATTACATATTTAAAACAAGATTAAGTTATTTGTTTATAATATTATATAATAATAAAATATATAATATATAATAACACGGTGAAATAATATAATA